GCAGCAAGGTCTTACTGACATAAAAAATTGGAAGGTGCTTGATTCCTTCAGCGCGGACTAGCACCGCACTGACTACGTGCTGGGAGACGGCGAGGTAAAGGTAGAGCTTCTCACCCGGCTTTGGTGTCACCAACAGTGGCGGAGAGGACAAATATTCCTTGAGCTCGGCCAAAGCTCGATCACACTCTTCGTCCCACGAGAACTTTGACTTCAACGCTTGAAAGAAAGGGCGGCAGCGATCCGATGACCGGCTTATAAATCGATTAAGCGCGGCGGCCATCCCGGCCAGATGCTGCACGTCCTTAGCCGAGCTGGGCTGCTTCAATTCTTGCACGGCTCTGATCTGAGTAGGGTCTGCTTCGATGCCTCGGTTCGTGACTAAGAACCCCAAAAATTTTCCAGATCCCACGCCAAAGGCACACTTTGATGCATTCAAGCACAGCTGGTGCTTCTTTAAAATGGCAAACATCTCGGCTAAGTCGGACAAATGGTTTGCCTCATGTCGACTCTTTACCACCATATCATCGATGTAAGCCTCCATTGTACGGCCGAGCAAAGGAGCAAACATTTTAGTCACCATCCTCTGAAAGGTTGCCCCGGCGTTCTTCAAACCAAAAGGCATGACTCGGTAGCAGAAGAGTCCCCTTGGTGTCGTGAAGGAGGTGATCTCTCGGTCAGGCCCATGTATGGCGATCTGATGGTAGCCGCGGTAGGCATCCAAGAAACTGAGCCTATTGTGTCCAGCCATCAAGTCCACAAGCTGGTCAATTCGCGGCAAGGGGAAGCTATCTTTGGGACAAGCTCGGTTGACTATCTTATAGTCGACACAAACTCGCCACTTTCCATTCTTCTTGGGCACCACTACAGTGTTGGAAATCCACCGAGGGTAGTGCACTTCCTGAATTGCTCGTGCCTCAAGCAGGTTCTTCACCTCCTCTGCAACTACCTCGGCGTGATGCAGTGCCGATCTCCTTGTTCGCTGGATGACTGGCTTTGCTCCAGGGAAGACATTGAGGTGATGGCAGATGAAACTTGGATCGAGGCCAGGCATGTCGTAAGGCGACCACGCGAAGACTTCGATGTTGGCCATCAAAAACTCAACCATCTCGGCCCTTTCTATGGCCGTGAGACTTGAGCCGAGCAAGAAGAACTTGTCCGGCTGTTCTGTATCAATTCGCACCTCAAACAATTCCTCAACAGCCTTGTCTTCGGCCTTGGTGCCCACATCGTCCAAGACACCCTGGTCCTCCGGTCCCTCAATCATTTGAACGAATCCTTTGGCAGCCCGGCTTCCGTTGACTGCCACAAAGCACTGCTTGGACATGACCTGATCACCCCAAATCTCCTCGATTGCCCCCATAGCCGAGGGAAATCTCATCACCTGGTGGTAAGTTGACGCTACAGCTTGCATAGCGTGAAGCCATCCCCTTCCAAGGATAAGGTTATACGTCGAAGGCACTTGTAGCACCCAAAACTCCACTTGCTTGACCACGGATCCCGCTTTAACCGGCAGAATAATCTTTCCCAAGGGCCACTCCGGTTGTGAGTTGAATCCAACCAGTGGCGAAGTTGCCGGAGCCAAGTCTGTTTCCCGGAGTTTGAGCTGCTTGAACGCATCATAATACATGATCTCGACCGAGCTTCCGTAATCGATCAAGATCCGTCTAACATCAAATTCCTTGACGCGCAGTGTTACTACTAGGGCATCGTTGTGCGGCGTCTGGATACGCTCTAGATCCTTTGAGGTGAATCTAATCACGTCTTTTTCTTCAGTCTTCCCCCTTTTGATGGCAGGCTGTACCGACAAAACTTCCCGCATATGTTCTGCCTTTTTTATCATGCCCTAGAGTTCGCAAGCACGCTCCGGTTCCACGATGCCGTGGATGACATTAATAACTCCCTATGGTGGTACGCCTCGGTCATCCTGTCCCCTAGGATCGACCGGAGCCTGATTCGGCTTTACGCCGCCATCAATGTAAAGATCTAGATGGCCGGCCGCGACCAGCTCTTCTAAGTGTTGCCGCAAAGGAAAACAATCCTCTGTTCGGTGGCCCTTCTCCCGGTGGAATGTGCAACGATACCACGGATTGTAGCCCTTCTGTCCATCGCCCAACTTAGCAGGAAACCGGACATACTCCTCGTCTCGGATTTCACTAAGTATGCGATAAATTGGAATCTTGAAGACCGTGGTGATGCCAGTCCTTGCCTTTAATCTTCTGTTAGCATCTGCAACATCATCTCGGGCGTAGTCATCCTGGTCGTTCCGACGTCCTCTACCCCAGTTTTTACGATTTGAGCCACGGTCTGATTCCTCTGCTCGTTCATTTGTGCGGCTAGACTCTTGCCCAACTGCATGCACTTTGCCTACTGTCTTCTTGTCTGTTACTACCGGAATTGCCTTCACGGTAGAAGCTGACGCGTCATCCTCTACTCGGATGTGCTCATTGATACGCTGCATGAGCTGGCCCATGGAGGTCGGTTGGTGCATGGTCAGCGAGTCCCGCAATCTATGGCCGACTGGGAGACCACGCTTATATTACGTGATTGCGAGGTTGATCGGGCAATCCAAGATCTCGTTGAAGGTTTCCCAGTACCTTGAGTTGTACGCCTTCAGTGTGTCGCACGGTTCCATCTTGACACTCAGCAAGTGATCGACTTCTTTCAGTGTTTTTGTGTTGGTTTTGAAGCGTGTAACAAACGCCTCGGCCAACTAATACCACCTTTGTATGCTCCCTTCCGGTAACCTCTCGAACCACTTTAAGCCCAGCTCGCCTAAACTTGACGGGAAGATTAGGCACATCAGTCCGTCATTTCGCCTATGTCCGGCCATAACCTGTCGGAAGTGGCTCACATGCATGTAAGGATCGGTTTTTCCGTCGTAGAGTGTGAACTTAGGCTGATGGAAGCCTGCCGGAAGTGGTGTTGTTTCTATTTCCAGAGAAAAAGGGGTGGGGCTCAGCCTGGCCAAGTCCGTATCTTCAAGGAGTGGCACTGCTTGGCGGGGTGGAGGCATTCCAACCTCCTCGCTGGTGTGAACCCCGTAGGATAGCCGCTGGAAAGCCGGTATTCTCTGAGCTTCGCGCCGGCGAGCCCGCTCCTTTAAGACAGCTCGTAAATCCTCTGAATGAGCGGAATAAGAGTACCTCGACGTCGTCGCCGTACGTGAGGGTTTGTAGGTGTTGTCTTGCGCGCTAGACTTTTCGGCATGCGCGTCGGAACCACCAACCTGGTAATTTCTGGTAATAGATATGGACTGGGTACGTTGCTGACTTTGACCGCCTGAACGGCGGGATGGGGTGTGCTCGCTGTGGTCTCCCACTCCAGCTACACCTTTCCCTTTGACATGCCGCTTCAGATCCTCCATCTCCACCGCCATTCGCCGAATGACAGCGTCTTGGTCCCTCAACTTACTTTCCAGTCGTCTGGCGTGTGAGTCTCTCCTCCGCCGGTGACCGTCTGGACTCCGTGAATGACCATGACTTCTTCCGCGCTTATCCCGCGCGTCTCCTGACTGTCCTCCGGTGGGCGTCCCCAAGTCCGCCATTGGATGGATGGCGGGAGGACCTTCTCTCCTTCGGGTGAACTCCGGGGTGGCTCCGTCTATGGCAGACAACGGAAACTCGTCGTTGTTCGCCATGGACGGCGATCAGATGAACCTGGAAGACAAGGTTTTGTCTGTCTAGCTTCCCACAGACGGCGCCAATTGTACGGGGAGCAAATATTTCAGCAAGCCCGTACTCCTTTCTTCCAAGCTCCGTTTATGTCCGATCACCTGCGAGCAAATTACAGTGAGCTGCCCGGCGGTGTGTGGCCGGAGAAACCCTCCGACGGTCAAGTTAGCACACACCTTAGGATAGAGAGAGAGAGAGAGCAGTGTTAAGAGTGTAGGAGTTTTCTTACAAAGTGTTCCTCGCCCCGCGTATGGGGGGCGCAGACATGCTTATATACCCTCTGCACCCCATATCCACTCCTAGTCATTTCCTAACACGTGGCCTCGCTATCCCATCTGTCAGCGTAAACCTTGCTGAATATCACCTAATCTCAACTACCTGCTTTCTCAGCTGGAGCTCGGCAGCCGAGCTGCTCCATCCTCGGCCGTGATGTGCTTCATACCCAAGCACTTTACTGGCTAAGTCCAAGGAAGACCAGGCTAGGCAGCATCTCGGCAAAGCCGAGCCCGGGGCACTTCCTGCGGTCGGCCTTCCTGCCGATCAAACGATTACCTCGGCTGACCTCGCCTTTCCGGGCGCCGGTCACTCAGCTTGACTGGCTTCCTCCATCACCTGATCAAGCAGCTCGGTTCAACCGAGCACTTCCTTGCCGGGCAGCTTCTTACGGTCCGGGACGGCACATACTTGGCCCCACTTCTGCCCGGCCCAAGTTCTGACAGCCCATCTCCGGGTGGATCGCCGGTCGTCTCGGCCCCATGCACCATTAGGCTCTCAACCTGCTCGGCCATTACCTCGGCCCAATTCCAGATCATAAATCTCCCTCTCAATAACGGAGATTAATAGAAGTAGTCGTGAAGAGATGCAATATAGAGGCTATAGATGGTAGTGTTAGGAGAATAGGCATACCTAAATTGACGTGAACCAGTGTAGTGAATAGAAATATAAATCTTCTTAATTTAAACAACAAAATGGCCTTAGATAGGGTCGCATAGAAAAGAATGATTCATCCAATCGACTCCATTTGATAGGGCTTAAGACTTGGTTGGTTTGGTTTGATTATGACTCAAAAAGTATAAAATTCTATTATTTTTTCTATAATTATAAAGTGCATATAATACACACCCTTTAATCTTTCTTTTTTTATAATGATCCATCACTAATTTTTTTTTGTTAATGCAAGATATGTCTACAGAATATATAATTTAATTAATAATTTAAATTAAGAAGCAGAGCCCATTTTCACTTCGGAGACGTTACCTTCCTCACCATTCCTCGCTAACTAACTCCCCTATCCTAACGTCTGAGTTTCTGAAACTGGTCTCACTCGATCCTAATCAAACGCAAAAGACAGAAAAGAAAAAGAAAAAGTTACTAATTCCAATGGAGATACAATCAAGAATTGAGGTGAGTTAGTGAATCTATACATGATCATGCAAATCCAAGATGGTCCAGATTAATACAACCAGAAGCATTCATCTTCTCTTTCATACAGGAAAGTATTTTCCCTCATTTTCTCGTTACTCTGTTTCTCCCATTTTCTTTCACTTTCTCTCAAATTTTCTTACCCATTTCTCAATCCCTTCAAAGGGTATTCCCCATTAGCTATGATCTTCAATACCCATGACTTTTTCTCTCTAATTCTCTCTTCTTTCTTCATTATCACCGTCCACTCATCAAGAAACACCTCTCTATCAAACTCCGATTCGTTTGTATTGTCTTGCGGTGGTGGTTCAGCCACCGATGCCGACGGCCGGAACTGGGTTCCAGATTCCAAATTCCTCACTTCCTCAAAGAATTCAATGACTGCCACAGCTCAATCTCAAGACCCTTCACTACCTTCAACAATTCCATACATGAATGCTAGAATTTTCACATCTGAATCCACCTACAAATTCTCTGTTTCTTCGAAGAACCGCCATTGGATTCGACTCCATTTCTACCCAACTTCTTACAATGATTTCAATTCCTCATACTCATACTTCTCTGTAACCGCCAATGGCTTCACGCTTCTGAAAAATTTTAGTGCTTCAATCACATCCCAAGCCCTAACACAGGCCTATATCATCAGAGAATTCTCTCTCACCCCAATCCATTCTGGCTCTCTCAACCTCACTTTCACTCCTTCAATACCCAATAGTTCATTAGCCTTTGTAAATGGAATTGAAGTCATTTCCATGCCGGAAATTTTTCAATCCATCACTATGGTTGAGTTTTCAGACACCTCTATAGAAGTAGAGGACTCTGTTTTGCAGACAATGTTTAGGCTAAATGTCGGTGGACAGTACATTCCAGCGACTAATGACTCGGGGCTTAGCCGAACATGGTACGATGATTCACCATACCTATTCGGTGCAGCCCTCGGTGTGACTTCTGAGGCTGACAAGAATGTCACAATTCAATATCCTGACAATTTACCGAAGTACATTGCCCCGGTTGATGTGTACAGTACAGCGCGAACGATGGGTCCAAACCCGAAAATCAATCTGGATTACAATCTGACTTGGGTTTTGCAAGTTGATCCCAATTTTACTTACGTTGCGAGGCTTCATTTCTGTGAGTTTGAGATTTCAAAGATTAATGAGAGGGTGTTTGATATTTTCATCAACAACCAGACAGCACAAGAGTCTGCAGATGTGATGGCATGGGCAGATTCGAAGCAGGGAGTGCCAGTTTACAAGGATTTCGCGATATATGTGTGTGATGATCTGAATGGCAACGGCAATGAATTGTGGGTGGCCTTGCACCCTTCTGTGTCCATGAAGCCCGAATTCTACGATGCAATTCTCAATGGGTTGGAGATTTTTAAGGTTAATGACACAAATGGGAACTTGGCAGGCCCAAATCCTGTGCCATCAACGCTGCAAGGAAAGGCCGGGCCTGAGCAAGAGCGGAGGAGTTTTGGGTCATCACTATCCAATAAACGTGCCACAGTGATTGGTGGGGTCGCCGGAGGGGTGGCTGGTTTTGGTCTAGTTGCTGTAATGATTGTTTTTATCAAACACAAGAAGCGCAAAGCGGGCGGAAGCAAGTCTACCTCTTTGAGTTGGTTGCCAATTTATGGTAGCATGCGGTCAGGAACCACCACGTCAGGAATCTTTGCAAAGGGCGGTGGTGGTAATAGCTGCATTTCAACGCTTGGCTTTGGCCTATGTCGACATTTCTCATTAGGAGAGATAAAACTTGCCACCAACAACTTTGATGAGTCTCAAATCATTGGACTTGGAGGGTTTGGAAAGGTGTATAGAGGGATTATAGATGGGGGGACCAAAGTTGCAATTAAGAGGTCAATCCCATGTTCAGAACAAGGTGTTCACGAGTTCCAAACAGAAATTGACTTGCTTTCAAAGCTTAGACATAGGCATTTGGTGTCCCTGATTGGGGCTTGTGAAGAGGGAGATGAGATGATCTTGATTTATGATTACATGGCTAATGGGACTCTAAGAGAGCATCTCTATAATACCAACAGACCTCCTTTGTCATGGAACCAGAGGTTGGAGATTTGCATTGGCACTGCACGGGGACTACACTATCTTCACACTGGTGCCAAGCACACCATCATTCACCGGGATGTGAAAGCCACAAACATTCTTTTGGATGAGAAATTGGTTGCAAAAGTTTCAGATTTCGGTCTCTCCAAAATTGGTCCTACTCTTAGCCAAACCCATGTTAGTACTGTAGTGAAAGGTAGTTTCGGGTACTTGGATCCAGAGTACTTCCGAAGGCAACAGTTGACAGAAAAGTCCGATGTGTACTCATTTGGGGTAGTCCTTTTTGAAGTGTTGTGTGCGAGGCCAGTACTTAATTCTAGCCTTCCTAGGGAACAAGTTAGTCTTGCAGATTGGGCACTAAGTTGCCATAAAAAGGGAACTTTGGGTAGCATCATTGATCAACATATTAAGGGAGAGATCAATCCAGATTGCTTGAACAATTTTGTGGAAATAGCTGTGAAGAGCTTGTCTAACAGGGGGATAGACCGGCCTTCGATGGGTTCAGTTCTATGGAATCTTGAGTATGCACTGCAGTTGCAGAGTAATCCTGATGGACCAAAAGTGGTGGCGGAACAGAAGGCAAACGATGCGTTCATTTTGCATACGACATTGTTGAGCATTGAAGAGCAGGGTGAGGAGGAAACAGACAATAGCAGCAATGAAATCTTCAGAAAGATAGTGAATCCACAGGGAGGAAGTATGTGTTAATTATTTAGTAAACAGTTAGGATTATTTAGTCAGCTTTTTTAATTTTAAATTACTTTTGTCACCTTGTACCCCTTGGTAATGACAAGGTTCTTCATTTTTCTGAAAAATGACACAATCTATTTGTTACTTTTATTGCAGCTTGGTGTTTACAACCAAACATCTTTTGTCCTCAAACAAGTGTGTTAAGAGGATAGAATAATTTCACACAATAAGATATGGGAACAAACGAATCCACTTGTATCTTAGTCTGTGAAATTTCTCTATGCATTTAAACTCTTTTATCCTCAAATTATATCTGAATCTGTAAAATTTCTTTATGCATTTAGACTCTTTAATCCTCAAATTAGTCTGGTCATTTCTCTCAAAACACTTTAATAGTCATTAGTGTTTACAGTGGTCTATTGAGATGTGAACCAATCAATCAAGAACCTGTATCTTTCAATAGAGTAGAGGTAATTTAGATCTCCTAAGGGTTAGAATTGATGATGGCCTTTGCTGTTGAATGGTCCAAACTTCAGAGAGCCTCTGGGGTTGCAACATGTGTTGACTTCAATCTTGCAGAATATTTAATTCAAACCATGTGCTCAATGCAGAGGTTTAAATGGGCAAAGTGATAGCAAATACCATGACAAATAGGAATGTATATATTTTGAATATAGAGCCTATAGAGGGAAAAAAGAAGAGAAAGATCAAAAGGCATCAAAGAACAGAGAGAGAGAGAGAGAGAGAGAGAGATGGTGAGGGTCACTCTCAGGCTTGAATATTCTGAATCCTTGCCATCGATTTGCAAAACAACAATCTTTACAACATCATCACATCATATCTAGTCATTTTGTTCATTCTCAACTAATATAGCAAAGAGGTCCATTTCAAGAGAAAGGTTATGATATGGTACACATTATTTTCTTTTCTTTTTTCAAAATTGTATATCTAGCTTATTTGCGAGACAATGAGAGAGGGGAGAGTTACCAAAGAGAATATACTTCCAAAAAGTTTGCAAAACAAATGTTAGGCAAATCAAATAGTTAAAAATTTTCATATCAAACTGAATTTCTTTAGAATAGTGATTTTGAAAAATAAAATAAAAATTGACATGTATTGAAGTGAGAAACAAAACTCAAACCCAATTTACAAAACCCATCCACTTGATGATGCCCTTCAAATTTTCCCAAGAAAATCTCTTCAGTTCTCTCTCTCTCTCTCTGAGAAATCTTCAATTTTCACAGCTTGTGCTCTTTTCTCAGTTGGTACTTTTTTGTCATTTTGTCCGACCAATCCAATCTCTACTGACAGTAGCTGGATTTGCACCAATGATCCTTGTCAAAAAGACCCGACATATTACAACTCCAACACAACACAACACAAAACAAAGTGATGAATAAAGAAAACACTTCTCTCTTTATTCTTTAAAATAAAGAAAAAAAACTACCTGTAAAGTATTTTATATTCTTTCAGGGAAAACTTTTATGCCTATAGAAAACATATTAACAATTTGGCAATGTTAGTAATTTTCATTTTAAAATAAAATGTCTATATTGAGTAGAATCATTTTATACATAAATTATATATGAATTTTATGTTTTCATATTATTACTCTTATTCCAGATTTTTAAATAATTAAAAAAAAAAAAAAAAAGAGGAGACAATATTGAGTAGTAAAAAACAAATCACCGTTAAAAATTATTTACAAGTTTTAGAAAATTTACAAAATGTGGAATTTTGGACATTGTAAATATAAGGCAATTTGTAAATTAAAAGAAAATAAATTTACAAAATATGGCATTTTACAAATTATAGAAATTTACAAAATACAAATGTAGGTCTATCCCCTTCATGAGCTGATCAATCAGGATACCATTAGCTAGGTTCCTAAACTTGGAATGGAGGTGGAGCATAGGCGGGCTTACTTCCCTCTTTGCAACTTTATCACTTCAATTCACGCGTAAACTCATTTTGGCGCATCTTTAGTACTTCAGTACAGCGAGGTGTTCGAAAACTACACCAAAAAAGATAATTGGGCTATAAATTGATGCTTGTAGCATTAGAACAAAAATATCAAAATAAAACATTTAAAAATATATAACATGTTATAATATATAATTTTTGAAGAACTAAAATAGCATTTTTTATTGTAGCACACACTACACTACAATGGAAGTACAAGCAAAAGCAAGGGCTTTCGTGCAACCAAGAAGCAAACATATATAAACAGTAGCTTTTGGCTCTGAAAAATCCATGAACTCCTAAACAATGAAATCATGTGAGAATGACTAATCAGCAGTGACACCCACAAATATCAAGAAAACAAAAGTTAGCACTAAGAGAAACTTTAAGCAGTTTTTTTTTTTGAGAATTTCAAACAAAAAAAAGAACAGAAAAAAGAGCGGGCTCACTGGCCTCTCTGTATATTAGACTGATGAGTCACTGACCAAAATGACTGAGACAAAGACAATGGTTGTTTCTAAGGGGTGTATTTGGTTTTGCAAATTTGGAATTTCATGAGGGTTTGATTTCTTCTTTGGCTCAGAGCTCTCCCAAAGAGTCATTTACTATTTAAACCCAAGATTTTTCAAAAATTATTTATCAAATGCAACTTGTTTTGAATTTGTGGACTATTATTTCATTTAATAAATCTTTCATTTTGTAGCATTATATTTCACATATTTATTTTTAAAAAATAAACACCATATATGAGTTTGAAAATAAACTCTTCATTTTTTTGTAAAACAAATATAATGCAATCGTATAATTATAATTATTATATCAATATAACTTTTTTTTTATAAATAAATAATTTAAATCATTGAAATAAGACTGGTAGAGGGCTTTAATGTCCCAACTGCATTGGTACGTGCTCTTTAAAGTAATCATGGTTAGCAAACCTTAATTTGGTTCAGCAAAACTTAGCAGACTTGAATCCAAGTGGGTACATGAAGGAGTTAGAATAAGTGAATCTAATGATCTGACTGGTCTTCAATGGCTTCCCAGCATTGACCAAGCAATCATCATAGAACAGCCTCTTGAAGACTCTAGGGTTCACCATCCTTGCAGAGGCAAACCAACCACAGTGGAGATGAATATTTGAAGGAGCACAACCTGAAACAACACAGGTGTTGACTATCTGAACTATGTACTGTGGTATGCCAGATGTGGAATCTCTGCTCTGTGAGATGCTTATGTCTCTGTTTGTGCAAGACACTTGAAAAAAGAAAGACAAGAAGAATAGAAAATTGTTTTGAGAATGAAAATGTGTTTTCAGAAAACAAAAATATTTTCATTAGGATGGTGGAGAAGTGTTTTACCATGTAGCACTAACTTTCTGTGGTTCAAGTATGCTTGTTCTGATTTCAGGGTAAATGTTGTGGTCATGTTGTTGTGTGCTTGGTTTGAATTCAAGTGCTTGTTTGATGAACCTGCCAAAGGGAGAGCAATGTTACCTACTCCAAAAAAAAAAAAGAAAGAGATTTGTCGAGTTGGTGTGTGCCCGTCCAATAAAAAAGGATTAAATACTTACATGGTCCAAAAAATGAAAATAAAATTTGGACAAATTAAAAAATACTACTAGTTCAAGCACACGGTCACTTGCTTTTCTGAACCCATATGATAATTTCTTTTAGATCATATTCTTCTGGGTGGGGTGTGACCCACATCACACCAAATTTTTGCATGGGATTGAGACAGTGGGGAAAATTTAGGGAAAGGGATTTCTTTCCTCCAAAATTCTGGGCACTTTTGTATTTTTGTGAGTACAGAATAAAGACATAAATAGAGACCATGCTGTGAGATACTGAATTTCCATGGAAAAAATGACAAAAATTTAAGAAAGGAACAAAATAACAGAAGAGGAGAGTGTTTTAGTTTGTGGAGTATACCTGAATGTAGTCCTAAATTGCAAGGTATAATGATAACCATCATCAAGCAGAAGAAGACCATTGGAAGAGAGATCATGATGAGGCTTGAAAGTAACAAGAAGATAAAACTGTTCTCAGATTCTGTTAGTTTGGCTTCTCTTGTGCCTCTCTTGCTTCTGTTATAATCTGCTTGTTTTTAAATGTATCAATGTGTGTGTGTGTGAGAGAGAGAGAGAGAGGGAGAGAGAGGGGGGGGGGGTGATGAGCTCTAGAGAAGTACAAAGATGGAGTGATGGAGTCTTGTAAACAGAGTACAACAGAACAAAGGGAGGGACTGGGAGAGGACCACCACCATCAGCAGTTCCATTGAAACAGACTCTTTAGGTTGGGATTGTCAATGCCAAAGCAAAAAAAAAAAAAAACAATGGTAAAAGACAGCAAAACCATTTAATACACAATGGCTAAAAGCTCTTCTATCTGTGGTACTGAATAATCCATGTCCCATTATTCAATTGTTTTCTTCTTACAATAACAATGTACAAATTTTACACTTCCTTTTTTCTTTTTTTATATATAAAAATATGCATAAAATACAGTATTAACAGCACTATATTCATTTTAAATGGAATCTATACAATGAATATAATAATGTTAGCATTCAATTTTTTTTTTTTTTAAATGTATGCCAACTAATTTCTTTTCCTCAAGACATTAACAAATTCCTATATTAAACAAGGTACCTAGAGAAGACCACATTCGGCATGTTTGGTACAGCTTATAAGCTGCTTATTTCAGCTTTTAACTTAATTTAAGTTAAAATATTGTGTTTGGTGCAGTTTTAATTAACCAGCGTATAGCTTAAATCAAGTTATTTCTCAGCTTATCTCAAAAGCTGGTAAAGGGGTGCTTAAATTTTTGAATTAAACACGCAGCTGGTGTGGGGGGTTAAAATTACTTAAATGCCCTCGTCAATACACAAATATTAATATTAATATTAATTAAAAATAAAAAATTGTATATTTCTGAAGAAAAAGAAAAAAATCAATATTAATTGGTATTAATTATTAATAAACTCATATTGTATATTTTTATATTAATTAAAAAATAAAAAATTGTATATTTCTGAAGAAAAAGAAAAAATCAATATTAATTAAAAAAATCAATGTTAATTGGTATTAATTATTAATATTGTATACTTTTGTAATGAATT